GGGCTGGATATGGCCCGGAGAGGGGGGGCATAAAATGCTGAGGTCTGGGATAGTGAGTAGTACATAGTCTGTTATAAGCAATTAATGTGTATTAAAAGTAGCAAAAATGGTCATGTGTACATGCTTCTGCCAACTTTGTTATAGGAAAGTAAGACTTGGGAATGTCAAGAGAAAACAAAAGGTAAATTGAATGCAATAAAAAAAACCAAGAAGTGGATAGTTCTTGTATAGTAAGACAAGAAAAGATAGGGTCAAGAATATGAATGGATGTCGCATGAACGGATTAAATACAAAACTGAGTAACTAGCAAAAAAGAAATACATTAAGATTTGTTGTATAAAAATAATAAATGAGGATGAAATTACAATGTGGATACAGTATATGAAGGAAGAGTGAATGAGGCGAAAGGAAATGAAAGTGGAATTTCAAAAAGTCAGGTCCGGATGATTTAATGCAAATTTCAAAAAAGACTGGCCAGCAATTAAAGGAAGAAAAGGCAATGTATGAATTACAAGGCTGTGGTGGAAATAAAAATGGTATGCAAGGACACAAAGTTAGAAGTATAGTGGGGGTAGCGTTGGTGAAATTAAATTTAATAGTATTTTCTTTTTTAAAAATCCTATTACTGTAACTTCTTTGACCTACTATTTCTGTTTCTGTGCTTTGCATAAGAGTGCTTGCCCTAATAGCAGGCCTGATGGCCATGTATATGTAAGATAAGTAGATGTTTCACTTGCACAAATGAAAAAGAAAAACAGCTCTGAACATATAAAATCAATTGGAAAAGTTTTTAAAACAGACCTGAATGATGATAATTCAAGCAGTCATTAAAATCTGGGCTGTTACTGTAACACATTATACAGCTAGTACTGTTGATTGGATACAGACTAGCTAGTTGCTTTAGTTCACACACTCTGAAAACTTGGGAAAATGTATCTTCCATTTCACCTTCAAAATGACATAGATTTTTGTATTTATCCCCGCTAAAAATGTTGGTTGTTGTGGTTTGTTGTTAGTGAAACAGATAGTGGAGACTTAAATGACTACATAAAAGCAAGCAAGGAGAAAATATTAATAAATGTCTGCAGGGGAAAAAGTTTTGAATGTGAGAATGAAAGGCAACATCCAAAACCAAATAAGTAGAATAATGAATGAAAAACTGGGGGGAAAAATCAAACCTCTGCCTAGTCAAAACCTGAAAGGAATTAAAGGCAGCGTGAATAGTAGCGAAACTTGGCAAGGCTTGTGATTGATCCATTAGGAAAGAGAAGGAAAGATTGCTATTTGCAGCCCCAGGATATAAGTACTGGCAATCAATGCCATAAAAAAATAACCCTGAAACAGCAAGATGGATTATACAAAAAGAAAGAAAAGACTGTTTGATCACTTAATAAGTAGCTGTAGCAAAACTGCCGAGATTGTGGCAAAAAATATGCTTTCGAATTCGCATAATCAGTATGAATTTGATGTATAGGTAGGACCATAAACATTGAAAGTGTGTTCCAGAATCAACATGTAAAGTTGTTATGGAACTTCTGAATTCTGAACAACGTCTAGAACATGACATGCCAGGGATCACAATAACTGAAGAAAATCACAATTTATGTATAGATGTGGCAACTGAACCTCAGTAAAATAGCTCATAAGTAACTGGATAGATTATAAAGTATTAGGACTTACAATTGAAATGCAGAGATTATGGAATTCACCACTGAAATGGTAGAATTGGCAGAGCAGCTGAAAATAGTAGAATTATTCAACCTCACAACTTTCAACTTATAAAACAACAACTCTTTATATGCATATAGGCTTGCAATAAGAGCAGGACAACCCTTAGGGTTTGAAATAAAGTTTGAATTGATCCTAACCATCACTGAATCAGTATTTTCTGACAAAAGAAGTTTCAGAAATTTTTCACCTGGCCTGGTGGCATGCAATTATTGCTTACAAGATGATTTAGCGTGGTCCTAGGCTCCTTTCTAGCTGCTATTAGGTGTTTGTGTCTCCTTGAGTCAGTACAGATCAAGGCAACTGTTGAATATGCTAATAAGGAGGGGACCAAGGAACACAGGTTTCCCTCCAGTCTGCCTTTCTGGTGAGAAAAATAATAATTTAAAATGATTAGTCCACCCTGCTGGTGAGACATTAGAGGAACCTCATTGGCTGGGCTGCCTGACATCTCCCTTTAAAAGAGGGAGCTGCTGGACAGCCACTTCACTTCTTTGAACACCAGTACCTACTAAATAAAGAGCTGTTTGTCACGAGCTGAGAGTCCTGCCTCTTCTTGCTGTTATGATGTCCAGAATTTTCAAAAGTGGTTTGCCATTGCCTTCTTCCTAAGACTGAGAAAAACAGGACCAAGGTTACCCAGCTGGCTGACTGGTAAACTAGATCAATGTTTCAGTGTTAATTGGTGAAAGAAACATTAGCCTTTCAGTTAAACAATCTAACAAAAAAAAATCAAGCAATTCACAGAGAATCCCTCTTAATTTATGAATAACACTGGACAATAATTTTTTTTCCAAAGTTTTGCATTCTGAAAAACTTTTCGTGATTATGATAGACACCTTCGAACTGAATACAGATATAATTACAGTATGACTATAATTATATCATGTAGAAATCTTGAGAATTATGGAATTTTAATGACTTTTTAATGTATTTAATTGCCTAATGTATTTGACATGTCACATGAATTCAACAGGGACAAAAGGGTTTTGCTGCTCATTTTCATTTGTAGTCGTTTCTGATGCTTCTCATTGCAGTGTTCAATAATCGTCAGCTAGCCTTGATTACAGTTGGCCTGATACCATTTTTCTATTGTGGTAATGTCCTGGGGAAAACTTTCATTATGTTCAACATTGGCTACACTTAGATTTTCAGGAAAGAAGTCCAAGAGTGAAGGCAGAAAATGAATCTTCAGCGACATGTTGTGTTTCATGGTCCTGCATGCTGTAAGAAATTTGTCAACCAACTATATGTATTGGTAGTTTGATGCTCTGTAGTTGCCAAGAAAATTCTCAACAACATCCTTGAATGCTTTCCAGGTGATTTTCTCTGGCCCCACCAATAGGTCTTTGAACCACTTATCATTGATGATGCATCTGATCTGTGGACCAATAAAAATTCCTTCCTTAATCTTGGCATCAATTAGAACACCTTCATCTTCATTGTTCATCGCTTTTACATAATAATGTTTTAATAATGCACAAATTTTAACTTCTCTTCCTAGTTAGAAGTAGTGTCTATGGAGATTCTCAGTCATCCAGGTCATGGTTGTCCCAAAGGTGTTTTTTCCACAGGCAACTGGACTTCCTTGTTTTTCACTGAACATATTTTGCTTCTCATCCAAGAAGCTTCTTCAGCTCTGGCTGGATGGTGGGAAATGGAAGGATTTATATTCCTTGCAGAGAGCTGATCATTTGCATTATTCCAGAGAGTTGTTGAGGCTACTTGGATATCTGTTTGTGTCCTCAGGGTCACCTGAGTAGTGCAAATGGGTATGGAGCCTCCTTGGAACTGCTGAAAGGACTGTGTTGTGGAGCTGGGCTTTCTGGAGGATGTTTTCTGTCCTGTGTCCCTTCATTGTTGAACACAGGCACAGGCTGTTGGGGATGAGTCTGTGTTGTTTGCATCTCAAACGGAAGCACAAATGGTTCCTGCAGTCTGCAATTTTTCTGAAAATACTCCGGCGCTATTTGAAGGGTATATACCTAAAAGTCTTCAGAGATTCTCAGTTATCCAGGTCATGGTGGTCCCAAAGGTGTTTTTTTCCAGAGGCAACTAGTCTTTCCTGTTTTTCTTTGAAGACGTTTCACTTCTCATCCAAAAAGCTTCTTCAGCTCTGACTCAGAGATTAGGTCAGGGTAGTAAGTAGGTGATATACCTATTTATTCCACCGCTAGATTACTTCTAACAAAATTGAAGTTTTTGTAATTGCAGCTGCTTTATATAACAAAAGAGGATGAAGCAAAGTTGGGAAAATTTGATCATAGTTCTCATGTGTCATATCTTTTTTTGCTCTTATACAGTAAAAGCTTAACAGATGTGGAGGGGTAAATAGGTCCCAGAAGAATAAGAAGAAGGCTAAATTTAGACCACCGAGGGGGAAAAATGGAGGACTATGCTTCTGAGAGAGACTCTGTGAATAAACAGCATTTGTAGAAGACATGTATCTAAAGGAGAGGGCACGGCCACACTGGGTGTTAGGAGTTGCAAAAAATGACAGCACAAGTTGTAAGATTAATGAGAAATTACAGAAACCGGACAGTAGAACTGCTCCCTGTTATTACAGCTTCAGAGAGTGTTAACCTCTGAGTAGGTGGATGAAATGACTAGGGTTTTCTGGAAAAGATCTTTATAAATATTTCATGGGATTCTGCAGTGCAAGCTATCTTTTGTAAGCACAAACTGCCTTACGCTGAATGTACCACGTTTGAAATATGTCTCAATTAATGTGCAAATTTTACTTGAAATCTGTATTTCAGTTACATTCTAGTCTTGATTGGAAAAGGGTCATTAAATACTCACAGATAGACACTCATTCAGATGCCAAACACAAGAGAGATTGCTATGATGACCAAAATAGCGTTTGTTCTAAAACTGATTTTATTTTATTTTATTCTGGTCAAATTTTTTTCTGGTAAAAGAAGAGGTTGGAAAAAAGAAGGACAAGAGTATTTCTCAGAGTAGCCAGAAAATACTGAGGCATTAGAAAAATGACAAAGACAAGGAAAAGTAAGTATCCATTCATTTGTTTTGATGGCAGAGCAAACATATATCAGTAGGAAATATGGCACACCATTGATTATTAAAATAATCACTTACTAATTCTAAAATGTGCATTCTTCACTGCATATTTCCACAAGCAAAATGTTATTAAAATTATTCAATAACGATACATGATTTAACATTATTGAATAAACAATTTAACTGTAATAAATTATTTTAAATGATAAACTCTTTTAGTACAGGGGAACCACACAAATCAGTGGCAAAAGATGAAAGTCAGGTCAGCTTTCGAAAATCACCTAGATAAATATCTCAAGAATGACTATATACAACAATGATATGAATAAGTATTCAGTTTGGACAACTGAATTAGTAGGCAGAAGAAGACCTACACCTGTCAAAATATATGGATTGGGACCATCTGACCAAGTCCTTGTTTTGTCTTTTGGTTCAAAAATCCAGTAAAATCAAATTAAATGTGTGTTTAAAATGTAAGATGCAGGGTTAATTTCCAAACATTCACCCTATTTGCAGGATTTCTAGAAGTGCCTCAGGTTCATACTTTGGTGAATATTAAGGGAGAAGGGAGTTTGCAATGGATGGAGAATTATTATATAGTGGCAAGGGAGATTCTGGACCAGTGGTCGCCAACCAGTGGGCTGGGGACTACTGATGATCTGCAGAAAAAATTTGGTGGTCCGCAGAGAAATGTCACCCCCAAAGCACCCCCCAAAGCAATTAACCCCGGCTGCGCAGAAACACAAGGCTGTTCTGCTCACATGGCCCATGGGAACACAAGGCTTGTGTCACTTGCATTGTGAACAACACAAGGTAGTGAGGGGAAGGGGAAAAGGGCAGAGGGGTGGTCTGGTCCCACTCACCCTATGCACCTGGCCTGGCCACCGGGCTGCTTCTTTCCACTTCTTTCTTCTTCTACTTTTGGCTTCATGAAAGGAAAGCAGAAAAAGTCTTTCTTTCTCTCCTCCAAAAGCTCCGCAAGAAAGAGTCTTTGGGACCCTGCTGTGCCGGTGTAACAAGTCTCACAAAGACTCATTTCTGGCAGAGTTTGGGGAAGAGAAAGAAAGACTTCTGCTGCTTCTGCTACTTTCCTTGCTTGAAGCCAAAAGAGTCTCAGTCTCTCTCTCTCCCTCTCCCACCTGAGAACGGAGCTGGAGATGGTATCCTGCGATCCCAAATAAAGAAGGATTGATCGGTAGGAAAACAGGGTGGGAAATTTTCCTGCAGACATTTTTTGGGATTTTCCCAGGGTCTCTGGTACCGTGGGATTTAAAATTATGAGTTTGGTGGTCCCTGAGGTCCAAAAGGTTGGTGATCCCTGCTCTAGACAATACACAGGCCACCTATTTATTCCTCTTTGGTGTATATCAATGATATGGAAAAATCATAGGAGGACCATGAAACAAATTTACATTTCTAAAATAGTCTGTTTGCAAACATGTTGAATTCATATAAGTCTGTACCTTATAGATATACGCACACAGAAGTAGTCAAGTGTTGGATAGCTGAATTCAGCAGGAGCTTTGGTTAGAAAATGTGCCCTGAACCAAAACAGATACTGAGTAATTAAATACCAGAACATGTTAATTAAAGGTGAAATGTTCACAATAAGATTGCTTTGGATGCATAGTAAAGGCTTAATCTGGCTATCAATGAATGCTAATTGACATTCGTTAATTTGAAATAACTGTTACATTAATTATGAAATACATACATAGAATAAGAAAGCCTCACTGATTCTAAATTACACCTTGAAGAGAGATAAAAATTGGAGGAGAGGAAGACAGAAAGCTCCATCATCTTTAAAGCACCCTTCCCTTATTTTTTTTTTTTTTGCCTAATACAGATGTTTCAAATGTCAAATATCGGTTAGACCAGCTATCAATTATTACAATTGAAGTAAATATAATTTTTTTTAAAAAATATGAAGACAGAAAGTTTTTGAACAAAAAGTTCATAAACTTGCTTCCATTTAATCTACATCTTAAAGAGATGGACGTATGAGAGACAGGCAGACAGGCAGACAGGGCAAATTTCCTTTGCCTCTTAAATAATAATAATAATACTTTATTTGTGGTCACAGACCAAAGCACAAGTACAACAAAAGAAGAACATGGGAAAATTAATCATGAACAATTGGTCACCAAAAACTTGACTAAGGGGAATTACAGCGTTCTCCTCTGATGATTACAGCTCTTAAAAAAAATTGGAAACCAAAGAAGTGATATATGAGGAGCCATCCCCTAGACAATATAAGAACAAATCACTAACATTGGGTCTAGAAGGGTCTGTTTCAAGGACAGAAACTTAGATCTGCCTGCGTTATACACAGGGCAATATAAAAGGACTTGCTCCACAGTTTCAACCTCAGCTCTGTCACAGGGGCATAGCCGCTCGTTAATCGGGAGCCTCTTAAATCGCCCATCCAGTAGTGCTGAGGGCAGAATATTAAAGCGACCTAGGGAGAAAGCTCTTCTATACTTGGGAATGGTTAGAGTGTAAAAATAGGAAGCCATCCTCAGTCTGTAATTATTAAAATGGCTGAAGATCAGAGGGGAGCAAGTTTTGTTAGCTCTGGCTCGTAGATATTGCAAGTCAATGTCCACAAGCTGTTGGACTACCCTAATTTGGGCGTCCTTAAGGCCATAATCTCCCAGGGCATCCCCCGTAAAACCTAGCAGGTGTAATTTCTTTATCAGCTCCCTCTCCCAACGAGAAATATGAGAGTCAGCAAACGCCAGGGAGAGGTAGTTACCAGGAACTGCCAGAAAGAGCACCTGAAAACTCAATTTAAAGGTGTTAATCCACGCCATACATTCGACTGATCGAGTGCCCAGTTCCAGGTACATTGGAGCAAAACCAACACAAGGAGGAAGACCCAGAAGTTTTCTAAGAAAAACAGCCTGGGTTCTTTCAATACAATCCTTGAAGCCCCGTACCCACCTCTTAAATATAGATGTATCTAATTAACAGCAAACCAGGTAGAAACAGGCCTAGGGACTGCTGAGATGAAGATACTTCCTTACATTTGTTTCGGCAGACTCTCATCTGCCATCATCAGGCTTCTGTATAGTGTTCATCTGTGAGTCAGACTTTTACAGTGGTTTCAGATTTAAATTTGGGGCAGCCTATTGCTGTGCGAGCTATATATGTATGAAAATATCTGAAGAAAGCTGAATACCATATATGGTATGTATGTATACATACACTCTGAGAAGCACAGAGCCGAAGACACAAGCCTGAAGATGATGAATGAGACTTCATCGAAACGTTGCCTAGATACTGCCAATCCTACGCGGGAGAAAACCCGAATAAATCCACATACAAATACCCATGAGAACCTCAGTGTGTGTGTGTGTGTGTGTGTGTGTGTATTCAGCTATTCAGCTTTGTTCAGGTATTTTCCCACATCATTATAGTTGTGCTTTTAAAGTTGTAGCAAAGTTGTAGTATATATACATATTTGACTGATTAAATCTGAAATGTGTCTTATTTTGAACCAGAAACCACCGTCTAGAGGCAGCAGAAAAACAAAGCCAAAAAGTTATGGAACGACTGGCAGCTGATATGCTCTTTGGATATAATGGTCCTCAAAATGTAAAAGCAGCTGTATTACTGTATAAGCTTTTAGCTGAAGAAGGGTCACATAAAAGCCAGACTGTATGTGGTTCTTTAATTAACTGCAGCTTTAAATAATTACTAGTCTGTTTAAAATGAATAATGAATAATTGAAAAAGAATAAATGTGTGTAGATGGAACAAAGAAATCTCAACTAGGTGGTAAGGAAATAATGAATCCAGTTGACTAATTTACAAGAATGGTTGCATGTATGCATAAAATATACCCACATATTTATTGACTGATCAAAAAATTGGGGTAAGACTTAAGCCTGAATTCTCTGAAGACAGTGTATAGACAGAAATCAGTTCCTCAAACTAAATGTATATTTATAAGAATGTTAAAAAGCTAGCTTTACATATTTCCCTCCAAAAATGATATAAGAGAAGGTGGCATTCAACATATGTGTGAGGTTAGAGGACTGAAGAAGGAATATAATTCAGATTGCATAAGTTTGAGAGAGATGGAGTTTGAATGGTAGTGGATACAGGGTTGGAGAAAGCTGGAAGGTAGACGTGATCTGGGAGACTACTATTTTGGTAAGACTACAAAAGCGGTTGAGCCACTGGAGAGAGTTATTTGACCTGCAGAGAGTTGCATGATGAGAGGAGTGGAGCTTTCAATCTGGAGCAATGGTTGTAGCAACTCTCTACAGTAGTAACCATTGCTAAAGGGGGCTGTGGGTTTAGAGTTGCAGCAGCAATGGCCATGCATGGTGGCTATCATTGCCACCATTGTTGGAGTTGTCATTGGAGTGTTGGCAAGGAATGGCACACAGGTGGATTAGTAGCAATTGCATAGTAGGATTGGCAGTGGGGGAGTGCTGAGACCACTGCCAATAAGGACTTCCAGCTAGTGCTGGAATGCCATTAGTAACAATGTCACTGAGAGATCAGTAGAACGTGAGAGCCATTGCTCCATTGTTGGCAGTAACAACAAAGGAAAATTGTAATGGTGTTATGGTCAACTTACTGAGGATGGACTTTAATAAGGTTAAAGACTAGATTTAAAATCATCTGGGAATGTGCTTTCTAAAAGGGTTGGAGATAGTGTGAATGATTTACCAAAATGCTGTCTTCCATCCATAGGGTGGTTGTAGGATATAATAGAGTTTGGAAAGGGGAGTGTGATTGGCAGACTTAGACTTAGAATAACTTTGTCACTTTGAATATGCACTAATCAGCATACATTAAAATGAAGTAAATAAACAAACAAACAAATACAAAATTATGCATATACCCACATATATTTCATGATACAGAGAAACAACACAGTTTAGTTCAGATGTATAGATATGCATGGCAAGAGAAATGAATCTTGTGAGCTTACCAGATATTGACATCCATGGTAGCTGAATAGACAGATTGGACTATGGAAAGCAACATGGCTGCCTTATCCAAATGATATCAGGATGAGCTTGCATTGGATCTCTTCTATGAAACCAGGTCATTTAGTGGGAGCCAGGAAGCATGGTTCCTCTGTTATATGCTTGCCCTGTTGAACAATATCCCCCCTGAGAACTAGATGGCAGCAATCCTGTTAGTTTTTTTGGAAAGCCTTGAGCCCAGATTTTCAATCAGACATTGGGGCCAGGCTGTTAATTGAGTTCTACATGTATGGGATGTTTGTTAAGAGAGAGCTTTTTGGGAACCTTGGTTCCATTATAATGTTTTATATATTGTGTTTGTTTGTTTATTGTGAGCTATCTCAAATTACAAAGTTGAGATGGGCAGCTATACATTTTCAATAAATAAGTAATCTCAGAGGGTTCTGTTTAGCTTCCACTAGAACATCTACAGGGAAGGAAAATCCACTGCCTCTCTAGGTAGTTGGTCCCATGGTCAAATTGTTTCCTGAATACTCAACTGGAAACTATTTTCATGTAACAGATCCATGATTCTAAGTCATGAGCTTTGGAATGAGAAAAACAGGGACATTTTTTTGCCCAAATTTTTGTGTTGAAAAATAAGAAATTATTTGTTGTGGATGGGGGAAGATCTTATACCTACTACTTGTCTCACACTTTTTGTCTGTGCCACAGTAATTACTGTTTGTATGATTTTCTTTAGCTTGCTCTTCAACTGGCAAAGCCATTCTTACTTTCCTTAGCTGATCCTTCATATATTACTGAGCAGGTTGTCTCCTCTTTCAGATTCAACATGATATAAATCAGAACATTTGAGAAATTTAGAAGCACCTGATCCGAAGTAGTGGTAGGGAAATTGCTTATTTTTTTCCTGCTCAATTTTTAAAAGGAAATGGAAATGTGACCTCATTGGCCTCCTCTTCCTCCTCAAACAAGTTGCTTTTCACAGAGTAATTGTCAATGAGAAATTAGCACAGATGAACATTCATTCATTCATTCATTCATTCATTCATTCATTCATTCTACTTAGATGGGCTGAATAAGCCAATCCTTATCTTCTGCATTGATCTTGCACTCTTACTAGGATGCTAACCAGCTGTTTAGTGCTACTGCATGAAATATAGAACACTCTGCACAGTTGCAAATACAAATTGCTGTGTACCTAGGATCATTGTTAATATTATTCCTTATCAACAGGAAGATCAAAGTAATCTCAGTTTCAAACTTTCATGTAGTTTTCAGGACCCCAGAACTGAGGCCTGATTCACATTATCTTTGTTATAGTAAAACCACTTGCATGGAGAGGCATTTGGTTAGAAATAATATAAAAGAGTTTTACTGTGCAAAGACTTTCCCTAAATTTCATCATGGTAAGTTAAGGAAAATATGTCAATTCACTTTTTATTTGGGAATAAATCAAAGCTAATCATTGCAGGAAATTCTGATAAAACCACATCAATGTAACTTTGTCATAATAAGATTTTAATTTAACAGTTTGTTAACATGTTGGTTGGTAAAATGACTTTTTGTTGTTGCTGTCTTGGTTCTGTAGGCATTAGGATTCTTGTCGTCATATGGAATAGGAGTGGAATATAATCAGACAAAGGTAAAAGGAAACTCTCTGAAATCTGATCTAAAATGGCATTCAAAATACATTTCTAGCATGATTTTATTTATTTTTTTCCTTAGGCACTCGTATATTACACATTTGCTAGTGTTGGAGGAAATCTTATATCTCAGATGATCATGGTTTGTAAAACATGTATTTCAATTATTTCCAGTTCTAAATTCCTAAATAAAAAGGAAAATAATTTTGATTTTTCTTTTCTTTTTTTAGGGTTACCGTTACTGGTTAGGAATCGATGTTCCAAAGAATTGTGAAGCAGCGTTAACTAATTATAAGAAAGTTGCAAAGTTTGGTGAGCGCTGTTGATTTAAAATGTATCTTCTGTAAGTAGTTTAAGACCTTTACAGAAAAAAAAATGGTGGGGGGGGCTCACTTTACACAATATAAAAGAGGAATAAAAACAACATTGGGATCCATTTATTTAGAATACAAAAATGGTATTTAAAGGCAGTCATAAGTGCCAAGGAAAAATGGAAAGATTTTCACTTCTGAAATGACCTTGAACAGAACAGTTAAAAAACTTTTCCGAAAACCAAAAAAATTCTCCTAAATGTACACCAATACTTTACATAAACTTCAGTCCCTGTGGCCTGTAAATAGAATTTAGAGATCCTGGAACAGAGTTCTTTGGTTCTCTGGATGTGCAGAGAACAGAAACCTTCCTCCACATTATAGCATGAATATCTTGTGTTTTCAAATATATGAACCCCGCTGAACATGATCTTGCTTGTTTGGTAACAGTCTAGGAACATGAAGCTTGCCTTCAAAACAAAGGCTACAATTTGAGGTTCTACACTTGGATGCACTCAACATTACAGCTCTGAGGTGCTCATTATAAGGAAGGACCCCTCTGTTCTGCCAAACAGCCTTTCTGACAGTTTAATGCAAAATGTGTGTGCATTTGTTCAAAAAGGTGCATTAACTAATAATCAAATTGTATTAACCAGTGTATCATTGTTGTCCTTCCCCTCCTGGTTGCTGAAATAGTAATTGCATTTAGACTTATATACCACTTCACAATGCTTTAAAGCCCTTTCTAAGCGGTATACAGAGTCAGCATATTGCCCCCAACAATCTGGGTCCTCATTTTACCAACCTTGGAAGGATGGAAGGCTGAGTCAAGCTTGAGGATCGAACCCCTGGCAGTCAGCAGAATTAACCTGCAATACTGCATTCTAACCACTGCACCACCATGGCTCCTAATGAGTAAAAGCTCATATTTTTTCCACTGAGCCTCAAAGCCATCCCAAACAATCACCTGCTCAAAGTTAGAGATGAAAAAAAGAGACTTGTTTTTTTTCCCATGGAGCCAGATCATTGCACTCTCCGCATGAAAAAAAAAAATTTCTGCCTCTGCATGGAGAAAATAGGGTAACAACAGGCCAAGTAGCAGAGAATAAAGGAAAAGAGAAGGGATTTGAATTCTGCCATTGTATACAGTTTTTTTCTACTGAGACATTAATGTGAGTCTATATAAGCATTTCCATAACAGAAAACATAAAAATTACTATAGAAATTGTATTATTATATGATTTCTTGTGCAAACTATGTGACAAGCAATGTAAAATAATAAATCTGGAACAGTTTTTTTTATTTTCTCTGTCTCCCAAAGAATGGTTTTGTAGCATTTATATCTTACAAACTTCAGTAACTGTTTTGATAATGTAAGTTATTGTTGTTGTTATCAATAGTAGCTAACAAATTAGAAAAAAATGAAGACATACCAGTTGAAAGAGTGAGACTGATGGAAAGGCCAGAAAATCTGAGTATTAATGAGGTATTCTTGGACTGGGATTTACATCAATACTTTAAGTTTTTGGCTAAAAGAGGAAACACACGAATACAGGTAAGATAATTTTCCTAAATTTCTTCCTCCTTGGCTTGCTTCACATAAGAATTAACCCACTTTCTGAATTCACAAAATACAAGTAATCTAATGGTCTGGGTTTCCACAATACAGATATAGATAGATAGATAGATAGATAGATAGATAGATAGATAGATAGATA